TGACATGTTTTTTCAACATATGCATCACTTGCAGACAAAACATATAATGATTCTTTCCTTCTCCCAATAAATAAAACATCAGCTTCTATGTGCTTTACATTAGAAAGAATTTGGACATTTTCGGGACCAAAGAGTACATACCTCCTAGCATCGGCTATTTGAAAAATTGAGGCAAGATTCTTCTTTAGGCCTTGTACATGATAAACATCTTTGAGAGAAACTATTATGTTATTCGAAATATCTGCCTCAAAATACCCTTCTTTCTCAACAGGATATAAGGAATTATCAGCGATCAAAATGATTTTCTTCCCACAATGTGGACGAATGTCCGACAATAAAGAATCATTTCACGTTGCATGATGAGAACAACCAGAGTCAACAATCCATTCGTTTTTGTAGTCTATGGAGGTATTAATATCTGTTTGTGCAGAGGTCACAATAGTTAATTGATCAATGGCTATAATAGACAAGCAATGCTCCCATTTGGACTGTTCAAACTCATCTTGTTCATGAGCAACATTTGCACCTGTTTCCATAAGTTTGACACGACAGTTGACTTTAATATTACCAGATCTTTCGCATCTATTACACACAACTCTTGCATGACAATCACGCTTCATGTGCCCTAGTTGTCCACACCGAAAACATCCTTTTGAATTTCCCTTCATTGTTGGACTGCTCGGTGTCACCAGAACCTTGCTTGGAGAAGTTGTTATTCCCTTGGTCCTTTGTGTACAGAGTATCCTCCACTTGAGAGAGAGATTGCTTATCATTGTTGGTCATTTGTTTCACCAAGGCTTCTTGATTAGAAAAAAAGATTCTCTAACTCAATAATTGAAGGTTGTGTTGCCTCCCCTTGTATAGAAGAAATAAAGGGCATAAACTTTTTTCGTAGTCCACGAATCACTCACGGGTTCCTCCATATCCAGTTCTAAAATTTCAGCACACAAGGTTTTGACTTTCAAAAAATATTCTGGAATTGAAAGAGCACCTTAAGTCATTCCAGCAAGTTCATTCTCCAAGTATTGCAACCTTATTGTATTCTTTTGCGTGAACAACCGTTCAAGTGTCTACCACACTTGTTTTGGCGACGAGACATCACAAACATGTGCGATGTAGTCTTGGCTGATCGAAGCTCGTAAAGCAAACAAGGCTTTACCGCACTTAATCTTCCACTTTCGCCGTAAGTCAGCATTTTGGGGTGTATCTTCTGGAATTACAGCATCATCACCAGAGATAAGATCCCACAAGTCCTGTTCTTGTAGATAAGTTTCCATGCATAGCTTCCAATAATTATAGTTGTTACCAACAAGCTTAGCTACAGAAACATTGCTTCCACCATTCATCTTCACTAAGCAATAAAATCAAACACTTGGTAGTCAACCTGGCTCTGATACCATGTTAAAAATATAGACACTGGAAGCAACCAAAAAAGAAGACAAAGATGAAGCAGAAACTGAATTTTATTACCCAATGAAGAACTGAAGCAAAACTAGGATTACAACGGTTATAAATACTAAAAGTTTTCCTAAAAGATCTCAACCAATACCAACGTGTCTATGAGATTATTTGCCTAAATAAAAGGAAGACAATCAGTATTCCTAAATAAATGGAATACTTAAAACAAACTAGATTTATTCAACAAAGACTAATTCAGCAACTTCTAACTTCCAATATATGACAATTGTAAGTTTCACTAATTTCCAACATAAGTGGAGGATAAAGATAGAGATCAAGTCTATATCAAAGTCCAAATATCAAAGAAATACATGTGCCTACAAGATGGTAAAGATTAAGTAGACAAAGGGTGAAACAGAGTGAGATTCATCAATCGAGAGAGAGAGATAGAGAGTTTACACTTACAGAAGGAAAGGAACAGAGAGACAGATCAAGTGATGAAAGCTGGAGCAGAGAGAACATGAGTTGAAGGCTTGAAGTTCATTCGCCAATGCTTCTGGAGAAGAGAAGGCGTGAAAGAGAAGTGGAGACTAGAGTGGAAGAAGAGAACGATCGAGTGATTACAGAATAAGGTAAAAGCGGTTTAATTGCATAAGAGATCTAATTTATAAACCGAACCAGTTTATGGTTCGGTTCTAATAACATTAAAACTCATATATGTAGATAAAACCGCTTTTAAATGCTTGATGAAATCTGGGGATGAGTTTCAAAAGTGAGAGATGATATTTGTAGATAAAAAAAAAACCTACTTTACTCAAAAAATTATTTTTCTATTCACCTAATAATAGGCATTTTAGTCAATTAAGTAGCATTATCTAAAGTGAAGATATGAACCTCACATATATTTATATCGCTTATCAAATATGAGATTGAATATGATTTTTATTTGCATCTCATAGACAAATCTTTATAGTTGGATTTGGAAAAATTTCATAAATCTAATCCAACCTCCCAAAAAAAATTTCCAAACTGGCCCTTAAAGTTATGTGGTTTATTAGTCTAGTTCCAAAAAAAGGGGGGAAAGGGGGGATTTTGGGTGTGAGTACATTTTTTAGACTTTTTTGAGAGAAGTGTATGGATACATTGTTTATTCTATTAAGTTTAATTTTAATAAAACATCTTGTAATTAGATATAAAATTCAAGTGATCTTTTATTTATTTTACTTACTTACCCTTCTTTTAATTATGAATAATTCTTATTCTTTCACTCTCTCTCTTCTCCTTATTTCCCACACTATTACTCTCTCTCTCTCCATTTCTTTCTCACTCTTTCTACCCTATTTTCTCTCTATCTCTCTGTTACTCTATCTATATCTCTCATATTTTTTTTCTCTCTCTCTCATTGATAATTTATGTTTTTTCAAATATATAAATATTTGATTTAATTTTTTCATTTCTCTCTCTCCTATTTTCTATCACCATTACTTTCCCTCTTTATTCTCTCTATATTAACATTACAATAACACAATTACAACAATCAGTTACAAGTGTCTTATTATATACCAAACAGTTACTCATATGTTCTGATCAATCAAATAATTACACAAAATTACAACATCAATTCAATTTATCATTCAATTGTTTATATAAACCAAAGAGTTACACCATTTACTATCATGACATGATTACACCAATTATATACACCAAATTTAGTGTAATGATAAACTCTTTGGTGTATATAATTGGTGTAATCATGTTGTGATACTAATGATATAATTTTTTGATTTTTGTAAACAATTGAATAACAAATTAGGTTGCTGTTGTAATTTCGTATAATTATTTAGTGTAACTTTTTAGTTTATTAGAACACAAGTAATTGTTTGGTGTATTATAGGGATATTATAATTAATTATTATAATTTATTGGTGTAATTGTGTTGATGTAATGTTGATTTACGAAGAGAAAGATAGAGAGAGAATAAGGAGAAAAGAGTAACGGTGAGAGAAAATAGTGAGAGAGAGAGAGAGAGAAATAAAAAATAGAGGAGAAAGAGATGAAAAAATTAAATTTTTACACATTTGAAAAGAAAATAAATTATCAATAGGAGAGAGAGAAAGAAAATAGGGTATAGACAGACAAGAGAACGAGAGAGAGAGAGAGAGAGAGAGAGAGAGAGAGAGAGAGAGAGAGAGAGATAAATAGAGAGAAAATAAGGAAAAGAGAGTGAGAGAGTAATGGTGAGAGAGGGCGAGCGAGAGGGAAAGGGAGAGAGAGAGTGAGTAATGGAGTAATGAATAGTCTTTTAGTTTTTTTTTTAAAAATGCACTTAGGACCAAATAAGTTTCCTTAATATAGTTTAACTCAATTAAGTCTAAATTTTTGTATCGACTTTTAAATTTCCAAAAAAAAAAATTGATTTATTAGCACCGTGGATTACATACATTGACTTGGATGTAATTGAGTTGGTGAGATCAAAGATGTATTTATTAACAAACTTGCTCATTATCATGTAATTCACGCCACCAAACCAGACGTTCTAATTTCACAAAAAAAAAAAGCTCAGAAACATAAAATTATAACACTGCATTGTTTGAAAAACGTGTTAAAGTGAGTAAAAAACATGCTGAATTGGATAAAGATCTACTTAACCCATGTTTGAAAAACAAAAATGATAAAGTGACATCTCATTTGGGCCTACCCAAGTCCTAATTTGAATTGTGAAATTTTTGGAAGGTTGACTAAATTTGGGGCCAATGGGATTTCTCGCAAAAACACTATCAAATACCTATTATCTTTTTGCCTTTCTTTTTTTTTTTTTAAATTAACGGTTAGGAGTATCTTGGTCAATTTAACGCATCTCGATTAATTTCTTCTTTAATCTGCTCAAAGACAGGTCATCCACGTCGGACTAAAGGTATTCATGAGGGATAAATTCATCATAGTCTGATTTCAAAGAGTTGCTAAGATTCAAATTCAAGACATCTAGATTATACCTTTGTCATTCAAAAAATTGGATTGTCTAGAAAATTTGATGGTAAAATTCTCATAAAAAAAGCTTTTAAATAATGAAGTAATATGTGAGAGCCACAAATATTTAAATGCATTTGTCAAACATGAGATTGACAAGGAATGTGCCATTTTTGATTGGATAAGGTTGGGTTATGTTTTTTTGGTCCAAGACATGCACAAATACACACAACATAGTCCACACCCACCCACATCCAAAAAATATGGTAATTTACCAGTAAAAAAAGGCGGCAAAACTAAGAAAAATAAAGCAAGGTCACCTTGTCAACGCCAATAAAGCCCAACAGTTTTGCAGGACTAATGCTTCGATGGCCGGGTCGAACAAGGAGAGAAAATAAGAAAAAATGGCCGCCCCAAGACATGAATAAATGTCAAATGTGTCACCCGAGTCTAGTTCGGTTTTGACTCGTTCAAACTTCTTCATATTCAATCAAACATAAATTTTAAGCTCGTTTAGTATTCAAGCTTAGCTGGAGCAATGTGCCACTCAGCTCGGTGGGGGCTCGATCTCAATTTGTTTATAATATAGTCTAAACATTTAACATAGTGAAGATATAACAAAAAAGAAATCTTCACTTAATTTGAAATCGCAACATGATTTGCATGCATTCTTCAAATTTACTAGTCTGTGTGTTCGAATTCAAGCTTTAGTACAAAAACAAGCCGTGGTAAGACAAACTTGAACATACGGTGTAGAGACCAAACTTAGCAAGAATCCAGACAATCGAAAACTCGAGCCTATGATAATCAAAATCTTATAAAGCTTCAGCATGCCAAAATTGCTCGGCTAACACTCCTTACAAAAAGGCGGCCCGGCCACCCTATTGCTTTGTGCTTCCAGGACTAGACTTGTATTACATAACCCTAGACTTGCATCCCTTGGTTGTTACTCAATATTCCTTAATGAGTTTTTGCGGAGTTTAGCCTCTGAACATCAACCAACTGGTACAAATCACCCCGCCTCTGCTTCTGAAATGGAAGGTATGTTCTGCACGTTCAAATTACAACAGATGAGTTATAAACTGAAAAAACTACGAAGAGCAGATATACCTTACTGGGTCTTCTTCTTTTTTTTTGTTTGGTTGGGGATGGGGAAGGGTTTGGCATTTTTTTCTGTTCAAATCACCTTTCAAAATGGACACATTGTGCCCCAAACTGAATAGACAGTTTTCAGTGAAGTGTCTGCTTCATTTCAAACTGGACAAAAATAGAGAAAACTCATCGAAAATCATCTTCGGAACTTCATGTTTAAGAAACAACACCATAGTGAAAACATCATTAAAAGCAGCAAATGCAATGATAAGAAATTAACCAATGTGGCATAACCTCACTGGTTAAGTGTTGAATAGTTTCGTCAAGTAGTCCAGAACAAAGACGGATTTTCTGTCAAAGTAAAGTAGCCAAAACAAACATGGATTTTCTGCCAAGGAAGTCTATGCTCTACATAAAACATATTAGAAACGAAAAGGAAAAAAGAAAATTCCCAGAAATAAGTTGCTTTTAGGTTGATGAGCATCTCACCTTCTAAGGTCAATTAACGAATAATCAATCTCTGCGATGACTATTGCCTCATCGTGCTCTGTTGTTGCGAGTACTTCACCATACTGCCAAATTCATATCCTTTTAGTTCTACTGCACTTATTGGCAAGTGAAAACTATAGAATGTTAAGAAACAACTCAATTCATTGTTAAATGGTCTAAACAGAAATCTGTAGAGGGCCATTTCAATTGGCTCCCCAATGGATAGTACAGGAAATTACATCAGCACATAAGGAAAAAACCATACTGACTCATTACACTCACCGGTCCAACAAGCGTAGAGTGTCCCCAAGCCACATAACCAGCGCCAGAATCTCGAGCAGGTGAACAAGTTGCCACATACAACTATAATTTGTATATACATCAAATACGTCTCCGTGCAGAAACTAATGACAGGAATTATACTAAAGTACTTAAGTATGCAATTGAAGGAATACATTCAGTTCAATCTTCCAGGGCCTAGCAGTGCCAAAGCAGTTCTACAAACATAGAAGGGAGATGCACAACTAAACAGTAATCTGTTCTCCCCAACAACCATGTTCCATGAGCAAGCGATTGAGCCTTTTTAAGAGCTAGCAGCTACTGAATTATAAAGTTATTCATGCACACTTTTTGCTAAATTTGTTTCTAAACAATCAGTGATCAGTGGATGACAACCATGATATCTTCATGCAATGAACTAAAACTGTAGCAGCTTCAATTCCTGTTAATAATTTGAAAAAAATGTGACCAACAAGAAAAAATAGGGGCTGTCTTTTCCTAGGAGTTCAGCTTTTGCTCAAAATTTTGATGCCAACAAAGGACAGAAATCAATCTCTCAATCTTCACAAATGCCATCATATATTGACATGGTTTATTCCTTCAGTACCGATAGAGTAGGCATCTGTAATGATGCTTTTCTAACCAATATTACATCTGATGTGAAACAAAAATTGAGGGTTAAAAGAACACCTGGCAATCCGCTGCCCTGCAGGTCAAAACCAAACATAATTGTTAGCAGTAATTATTTTAAGGCACAGTCTGCTCAGTCACACAATACAGCCATCATTTAGATCCACTCACAAGAGACAGAGGAGTTTTTTATAGAGTGCCCTGTTTTGGGATATAAATCTGTTTGTGTACTACACAGTCTCTTTCTTGGCAGAAGTTTGTTTAAGTGGTTAAAGTGTTGACCAAACTATGTAATTGAAGATCCAAAACATAGCATAATCAGGATTAATTGCATGTACCTCTAACCACCGAAAACCAACTTCCTAATCTTATTTTTATTGAGACGGTGGGGTCCATCCAACACCCAGCCAACATTTCTTAAAAGTAATGACTGGGTATTCACGTAAATATGGTGCCACCCCTGGGTGTGAGGTTTGGAGAAGAACTAAAATAACTAGTACTTAAAATTTTGCTATTCCTTCTTTCAGTTGTAATTTCATATCAGAATAAACAGTAGTTCTAAACATAGTTCAAGCCACATAGCAGGTCCTGAAAATGAACAAATAATCCCTAAATTGAAAATTGAGAAGTAACACAACTGCGAATTTCTGCATAGCATGTAACTCTCGGTAGGGATTGAGTACAAACATATTACCTTGCCCTCTGCAATAGCTCCCAATGTAATGGACCAGTAGTCATGTTGAATGCCCCAGGATAACAGAGCAAGTGAGCACCTGATATTCAGATACACATGTTTCTTATGTTAGAAACATGTCAGTAATATAACAATCAATAGCAGTTCTCATATCAGTTGTCTATCATGCTAATATAATGAGTGTCAAGTGTTATATCAGTTGTGTTCAACACATTCAGCCAGTATGAGTCCACAAAATAGCCCGGCTATGCCAGGAGAATCTTTACCAATTGAATAGCGGCCAACTTTTATGGATGCACCTCACAACACTTAATCTTATAGGCATCTTTTTTCTTTCCATTTTTTGTTTCTTTTGTGCGTGTGTGTGTGTCTAGGGAAGTGGGGGGCAGGTTGTGGAATCCAGATGAAATCACAGGGGCACTAATTTCTATATGACTATAGGGAGAACGTACCTCTTGCAGCATATATTGCTGCTAGTTCTTGGAAGCGAATGTCGTAGCATATACCAATACCAATACGCCCTACATCTGTACATAAAACTTGCTGGTAATTTTCTGCTATATTGAAAGAAAAAATTTGAAGATTTGCACATATGACAAAACTGTCATATCATAGAACCAAAAAGAAAAGGGAGAAAAGAAGAACAAAAACAAGAAGAATAGAAGAATTTAAGGAGTGCATAAGGAAATTTATATTCACTGCAACATGAGCACAGAACTCCCACATTAAAGGAGTGTGCAGTATATTTAAGACTGTTAAATCTTCCAATAATATTTCCCCCTCCTTATGTAATATGCCTAAGGCAAAAGGAAAAAAGAGAAAATTGATGAAGTTGGTGAAGCGAAACCATTGAGTCCATTGTTTCCATTAGGGCTCAAGAATATTTATTTTCCAAGGCAATGATGCTAAAGAAGTTTTTATTTCTTTTCTGGCACTCATTCAGGAAAAGTACATTTAGATCAAGCCACCACCTATAATAGATCCCACAATGCCATAAAAATCCAGTTGACAAAGAGATGAAAAATTTTGGAGCCCCGTGTGAATTCCTTGAGTCCAATATTTTGTTTATTGCTACCTTTAAACAAATCGTGAGGATTTTCTTTATTTCATATATCACAATCGTGGTGATGCTTCGTATCACACTATTCACATTATCAAGCTGTATCAAAAATGGTATGTAAGAGGAAGAGTATGATTTTCCACATGACATTCAATCACCTCTAAACTTATTAGAGGAGTATAGCATTGCATCTTTCTTATACTCTATTTGGATGAGAAGACTTCATGTACTCTCTCAAATTCTATTTATGTTGTTCACACAATTAATAAGGAGAGCTACAAAATAAGCTTCCATGTGCAATTACTGCATGAACCAAGCAGTACGTAGATATAAATATCATATACAAGATAGAAGATTATCTTGTTCTGTTTTGAAAAAAAAGAAAGACCTAGGAAGCACATCAAACCTGTGTCCACAATAGTTGCAGTCTCCCCTGCTGTAAGAGTCTTTGATTCCTTAAAGGTAATATTGCCCGGAATATCAATATCAAAAAGATGTATCTGTAACAATGCATTGTCACCACAAAATATTGTTGACCCATCTTTGATCAGAATAAGTTTCCAAAACAATCCAATGGGAATTCAAAATTATTCATCTTTGACAGCATGCTGACTATTCCACCACTGACCACCATGTAAAAGTAGCTGAGGCACATACCTTCCTGTGTTTGGCCTTAAGCTTTCCATCAGTACCAAATACACAACAGGTATTATACAACCTATCACCACTACGCTCAGGTATGGAACCACCGACTATTGTGATCTGTAGAGTCCCAGCAAGTTCAGACAACATTGAAGCTGAAGGAGATGCATCGCCTCCAACATCAATATCCTCTGCATATACTGGAAAACTATCGTTCGAATATGGACTATTCCAAATTTCCTGAAACGGTGTATGAGGGACAAGCATATTAATACAGCATCTTTTACAAATCAAACTTGAAATGCAAAATTAGGTTCTTTTGTTCATATTTCAGCCCCCAAGAGGGTTTTTCTTTTTTTTTTCTTTTTCCCCAAGAAAACATTTCAATCATAATATATTGCATTACAATAGCAGTAAATTAAGTATAAAGAAGACCATAATTCATGATCTCATAGAAACACCAAATCTACCAACATTATTCACTAACTTACAGGAAGAAGAACAAGCTGAGCACCCTTTTCTGCGGCCTCCTCAATCGCCTTTCGAGCATGAGCAATGTTTCTCTCTTTGTCAGCAGTAACTGACAACTGGCAGAGAGCAATCTTGAACTAAAATCGAGCAAACCACAATGTTATTAGCTACATAAAGCACTGAGGTAATAATAAAAAAAAAAACTAGAACTGAATAAAATCTACACACACTGACAGCTTTATATGGTATGGTATATATATAGCCAGGTATCATGCCTTGGTGAGTGGAGGTGTGGGCAAGGGAAGAGCTGGAGGGACCCTAGATTCTTCAGGCTTGAAGGAAGAAGATGACATTGTTGCAGATACGGGAGTGGGGATCGCTGTGAAAGAATTCTTCTTGTTAATGTAATTGTTGAGGTTTACGAGGGAGAATGTGGAATTAGAGGGAAATTGGGACAACAATGTGTTATTTAGCTGAGGAAATGGAAAGCAGAGATTAAGGTTTTTCACTGAGTTGAGTGATGAAGTTGAAGAAGAGAGCAATCCAATCGTGGCAGCCTGCATTTTCCTTGAAGAACTGTTCTATGGGCCAGCACAGAAGATGATGGATCGTATACACAGAGAAGACGACCTGTGACATTCAGGGCTTCCACCTTTCTGCGTAAATCTGGATCGGCTTTGCACCGATCCGAATTTGAATCTGAACCGAAACATCGAACTCGAGTCGATTATCATTTGATTATTCCATAAATTTTATTTTTATGGTAGATATTTCAATCCGATTAACTTAATTAGAATTGATGTTGATATTTTGGGTAAATTTTATTTTGCCCCGAAAGAAACAAAACATTTTAGTTTGTCCCAAATGAATCCACCATGTTATTTTCATTTGATTTTTTATCTGTTTATTTTTTTAAAATTATTTTATGATATTTATCATCTTTTAGAGTCATACTGTCTTTGATGCCGTCTGTTTAGAATGAGTTGAACTGATTTTTAATCAAATCTGCATATTTTTTTAGTATCAACATCTCGTAATCCCATTCATTTGTTTTGCACTTCGTAGAAGCACTAGTCTGGCATGGATGCATATTTGGTTGTGTTGTGCTTCATAAAATCAGTCCAAATGCTAGGATTACAATGTATAATTTGCTCTTCATCCACCATAATATATACTGGGAAATTTAATTGGAAAATAAAAAAAGGGAATACAAAATTAAAAGAGCCCACAACCCAGGAGGTTGTTTTGAAGCATTCACAAAGCAAATGATGTCCTTATAAAGATGCAACTGTTACATTTGTAACTCTCTCCCAACCCATATTCTTATAATGAAAATTTAGCCGTATAGCAGAACAAAGAAGTAGAATGCTGTAGTAGTAGGCACCACCTCAATTAGCAAACAGCAGCACCTGCAGCCAATCTTGTTGGATCAAATCACAACTCACAAGTACTGTTTATGTATCCTTGATCGGTTCTCTTCCCACCATAGCCTAGCATGCACCTCCCCAAACTTTTCTCGGCTGCATCCAACGTGCATAGAACAAGGAACCCATTCAAAGCTCAAGCTAATACAACTCCATGTCACCCATGATATATAGGAGAAACGGAAAAAAAAAATGATGTAGCGTGAATATCGTTACAATTTTCAGCTTAAACTACAGCTCGAGACCATAGAAAGATGCACAAACTTAGAATAAGGTGCAAATTCAGGGTTAATAAAGTGAGATACCAGTTTAAATCGATATTTTCACATGTATCTTCCACTTTTCTCTTGTTTGGCTTGAGACAAGAAGGGGAAGTGGAACGAATCTTCTCTCATTATCATCAAGACAAAGGTGCGAAGAGTTCTAGGGAGTGACTGGAGTATTACTTTGAATCAGTTAAATCCTGGGTGCCAGTTGACCAGATTATGATAATCTGGCCAGGTTATGGGCCTTATGGCTGGTAATGATCAGTCAATGGAAAGTAATTCTAAGTAATATTGGAGTAGTGCATGGTGGGGAAACAAATATGATTGCTGTCTGATTCATGGAAGTTTTGACAACCTGCTTACGCATGCCTGTCCCTGGAGGTCCCATATGTAATGTGGAACATCATTTAGATTTGAAACAAGATAGCCCTTTATCAAGACAATTAACACAAAAGAAAAACTAACCTGAATCTGACACGTCTGAGTTCCCTTCTGCCATTTGCCAATGCTCGGATAGTAATGTATACCCCAGGTTCGTCTTGTTCAACCCATTCAGTCTCTAAATCACTCGCGTTGCTGATGGATAGCTCTCCAGAGCGATCTGCATCTCTTGATGAGCTAGTCCTTATGGAGGCATCCATCGATGATGTTTCTGTCTTAGCTCCACTAATGCTTGAGAGTTTTGGGGTTGAGGTGACACCACAAGAGTCGTAGTTATAGCGAGACTGCATTGAGTGGAGTTCAAGTGAATCCGATGATGAGTATCCCATTCCCATTCCTGTTGGACGGTGTAAAGTCCGAGGTAGGCGTTCTCTAGTCAATGGCGGGGTTACAGGGCTGTCTTGAGCAGATTCAATTTTTGAATTCTATAAAAGAATGAAGATCGGCATTTTTATATAAATCTGATTTACATGGTAGACATTGATTCAAAATAACCATTCACTATACAATCATTTTCGATACCAAAAAATCTACATTTATAATTGAAAAAAAAAATGATTTTCTCAACTTATACCAAGAAGTAACAATGCTGTGGAAGTTTTTCATACACAAAAATATATATAAAAGAAAAAAACCAATGCTGAGATAGCTGAAACAAAGAAGTGGAATAATCTCAAACCACATTATGTTCAATTAACAATGTCATACTTCTATCAGTTAGCTGGGCTAGGAGCTCACCTCATCTTCAGATCTGGGAGGGGTGGGAAGCGGAAAAGCTTGGCGGTTTAACTTCTGAACATTGTAAAGTTCCATTACCCTGTCATAATTCTCTGTCCACCATCTTTGAGCTTGCCATTTGTTAAACATTTCTCGACTAATCAAAGCAAAGGAATATCAATCAGAACTTTTGATCAGGTTCATCAGAATAATGCATGAGACGTAATAACATGGCACCCGCTACGCATTTGAGAAAAGGCACAATCACAAAGACAGAAAAAAATCTTAAGAAATGTGAACATGGCATCTACTATGCAAAATGCCAAGGAAAAAAGAAAAAGAAAAAGGTCACACAATGTAGTCCTAGGAATTACCCTATATTTTATCATGGCCATGCATCCCATTTTAAAAAAATACATATTTAAATTCAGGAGAAATAAAGTTTAATACAGCATAAACAATGACCATAATTCTAGTGCTCGAAGCCTTTAAACCAATGATCACAAAGTAATCCAGAGCATTATGGTAGGGTATCTTTCATGAATCCATTGTTTATGATGTTAGGCCACTCAGTTGGACCTACACCAAACTTCTTGACAAGAAAGCATGCTCCTCAAGGGAATTGGAAAGCCAAAACTGCCCTTGGTGCGTTGGTTACAGAACAGTACATTGACTTTGTGTACAAGGTATCAAATTCCTCAACAAAAATTTCAATAATCAATCAGCTGCTTAAATGTGTTCCAAAGCAACCAACCAATTAAATGATTCAAATCATTTCACAGGAATGGGTTTCCGGGTCACACCCCCATTACTCCAAGCATGCAATCATTGATTATAAAAATAATTATCCAAAAATTACTCTACTAATTTGGATTCATGTATTCACTAGCCACGTCATGCGAGAGAGCCTACCAAAAGAAAGTTCGTAATTTAAGTGTTCTAGATAAAGGCAAAGTGTGGATTGTGCTACTTTCTCCTAGAAGCAAGAAAGTGAAATGAAGGTTGAATCCAAAGTAAGGGAAAATACTCATCCACTAAGAGATACCTCGTAGATTTGGATTTAGGAATTAGTCTCTTCAAAACAGTGTTAAGATTTTCTACAATTTAAGAAACATGTTATAGGCGGGAGTCTTGGACTTTATGCAACTCTCTTTATTCTAAAGCAAGAAAGTGAAATTTGTGTAGGCTTGTTCCTTGTTAAGAAACCAAATTTAAGTTCACATTTTGTCATCACCCAGTTTGGGAGTGGCAAATGAAAAAGCAAATGGTGGTACCTATTTATTTGCAAACAAAATGGCATAAAATAGTCAGAAGATGACAAATCAAAGAGTAGTACGCGTGATGAAGATTGAAAAAGAAAGCAAGAGGCAATCTCCGACAAGACAACAACATTTGGAAAAAGCTTTCCCAGCATAATCAAAACCAGGCCCCCTAAGGCCCTTTCATGAGTTTGCCTTTTTAGACTTTGAAAAAGAGTAGTATTTCGGGGTGGCCTTTTAATGATGCTGGCTATAATGACTTCAACCCTGCTGAGTTTTTTAAGTGAACAGCTATTACTTGAACACTCTGTTTGCTGGAGCGCCTAAATTTACTCTTAAGGTGCTCCCATGATAATTACCAAAAACCCCTTTATGGGATATAGATCCCTTCTAATACACTTTCTTATAATCTATCTTACATAAATCACCCACCATACAATCATTAGAGACCCACGATAATACAACGGGTCCCACTTGAGTACATAGTAAGCAATTTACATATTAACGAATATTGCAGAAAAGTGTATTAGATGATATCTCACTCTGTTATGTTTCTTAAGCAAATATTGAAGAAAAAATTATAATTTAAGAGACAATTATTTTTTTTTGCTGCAGGGTGTCTAAACTTGCACCGCTACTTCCTCGAACTCAGCAGTTGGCCACCGTAATTTGAACTGGGTTAGAACATGTATAAGAGACATAGATGCTAACCTTTAGAAAATGTGAAAATGAATTGAACCTGCGACCTCTCTGTTACTAAAAACAAAATCCAACCACTAGACCACCCCTAAAAAAACCCTCAAAAAATGATTTCCCCAAATAATGTATTGATTAACCTATTGCCAATTCGGGTCACTAAGAATGGTATGTTCGAGTTCAAATCTGATTTTGTATACAACACTTCATAGGAAATCAAAACATATATAAATTCTATCAATAAGGGCAATACTGTCAATTTGTTCACAATCATTGGGTCCAACTAGATTATAGTACATCATAGCCTCCATTTTCCTACTGTGTTCACACCAATATCGCTTTCCTTCATTTAGACATGCCCACACCAACCATCCAAGCATTAAATTCATGTAGTGTATATCTCAACTCGGCCTAGTGGTAAACCGAAATAATTAACAACTTCACACCATGTTAGAATCTTTCTTTATTGAAAAATCGTATCTGTCGTTTATGATGAGATATGAGAGAAATAATTAATTGGTATTTTTATCCCTATTTTTAAAAAAAATGATTCCCAAACCCTAAATATAAATATAAAATTTTGTTTTCTTTTTCCATCGAATCAATACATATATTTATATTTTTAATGAAAAATCAAAACAGATCAAATATTTAAAATTTCAATTGCTTGAACGAATCATATTTGAGAATCTGATGTGAGTTCGAATTTATACCAAACACAAATTCTGATTTAACTAATGTTTGAATTAAGAGACTAATTCATGCATTCGAAGTTTACTCTTAATTCTATTTAAACTCACGAACCTAAGTCACATAAGCGCATCTTGATTGGTCGAGAATAGACCAAGAATATCCCCGCTATCCGCAAAAAAAAAAATCTTAAATTTTTTATTTTTAAGTATTATGAATATATTTTTATTGGAATCTAATTTACTGATCTAATTAACTATGATATTTGGATTAACTATGGGCTCAATCAAATATTGAAACTTTATATTTATCTAATGATTTCAATAAAATCACGTTATTAAATCAGTAAATTATGTCAAATTTTTAAGATTTTTAAATGTAAATAACATTTTACGCACCAACAAACATTTACCTTGCAACATAAGAAGATCAAAGAACAGTGAATTCAGTACCTGAAACGAATACGCTTCAGATCATTCCCTCCACGTGGCAGCGAAACAAAGGTGATCAAAACGCCAGGCTCCACCTGAGCAACCCATTCTTTGGGCTCGTTTTCTTCCACCAACACCACCGGGTCGACTCGCCGGCCACTTGCAGACGCCGAAACCGACGCCGGCGTCCCCTCGCCGGAAGAAATCCCCTTAAGCCTCGCCTCCATTTCCTTTCCCCACACCCTCCCCGTCGCCGAGCTCGAGTTCGCACTTCCCGTCCTCCGGTAGGGCGGCCACCGGAACCTCTCCGACGCCGATGCAGCCGAAACCGACTCGGTGTAGTTTGTCGGCTTCTGTAGAGTCGACTGGGCACATGGATTGCAATGACGATACGCCCCTGAAGCTTTCAACGCCATGTCTTTGATCTAAAAAAATCGAAAATTAGTCCCAATTGTCAATATCACAAAAATGCAATCCCTTATCGGTGTTTTTCTCACTCCTGTATACGTGCAGATATGCAAAGTGTGCTGGAGAGAGAAGATGAATTTCCAGACAATTTCAAAAATTAAGGTTGTGTTGGATGAATTACCTGAGAGGTGAGGGTTTTCATGGCTTGTTTACCACTGGGCGTTCTGCTAAGGTGTATATCATCAGGTTGATTAATCGATTCATCTCCGGGCTGCTTTGAACGAGCTATGCACGTAAGCATTTTCGTTTCTCCACTTGATTTCCGGGTATGACTCTATATATACAGAGTCGACTGTTTGAGGGAGAAGCGAGTGATCGATCGCTGAAAATGCCTGCAACGTCAAAAACCATGTCAGCACGAGGCTAATACACACACATATAACACATATATAGAGAGAGAGAGAGGAGGGGGGGGAGAGAGAGAGAATTAAGTAAGTAAATTATGGGTTGGATATGAGACCTGAGGAATGGAAAGAAGAGATTTGGTGGGTGAGTTTTTCCAAGTGGAGATAACGAGAGGGAGAGGGGGAAGGGACCAAGTGCTGGGTGGTGAGTGATGATGCTCAGACACTTTTAATGCACTCCTTAAATTACGCCATCAGAGAGATTCCTGTACATTAAATAACTGTATAAAGTCAAAAAATAAATGAAAAAGTATTATTGTATGTGTGTGTGTGATTATGCATGTGTATATGTAGTTATGGTGGAAGGGAAGGGAAGAACTTTTGAGGCAAATACAAAAGAAAACTGTTTGATATCAGTGGAAAGAGAGTTGGGGGGTGAAGTGGGTTTTTGAGGGATCAAAACCTTTTTAGTTTTGGGTCCTGTGCCTTTGGGGGATCAGAACTTAACTTGCTGTTTAGTAGTATCAGATAGTGAAGTGAAGGACTTCTTCTTTTTCTTTTCTTTTTTTAAAATTTTTGCTAGGCAACGATTTTTACACTACATAAAAAAGAGTGGAAACCCAAACAGAATAATCGAACTTTCAACATGATGTTCAATTACGGAGGGCTTTCACCATTCAGGTTAGTCCTAGACAGTGAAAACCTTAAAGATGAAGAAAGTGAAAAAATTGATAAGTTGTGAATGAGACATAATTGTGTATTAGGATTTATTTTGCAGAGGTGAATCCGTTGTGATCGTGTCTTAAAAAACAGGTATTTTGTCATAAAATTTAAAAAAAAAAACACATTGTGCTTGCCTTTGAGGCTCGTTGTACTGGATTTTCGCAGCTTATACTATCTAAGGTCTTAGAGTGTCCCGCGCACATAGTCCGAACCACCATTGTTAGTTTATTGGGCTAGATAGAGTTCAAAGAAGATACTAACTGCCACTCGCAGTTGCCAGCCCATTCTTTAACTTGGGCCACCATCTAAAGCTCAACACTAGAGCTTGACAAATTCACAAAGCCCAACACAATCTGATTTGGGTTAACATCTATCTATAATATAAAACAAGATATATTTTTGAGAAATTTAGAGGCTCATCCCCTTATGTAGACTTGTTTGGACTTAAGTCCATCAAAAAAACTTATTTGTTATGAAGTCCATTTTTTTTCAATTTTATCAAATTATCCCTTCCCTATAGAAGTAAAATAAAACTAAAAATTAAAAATTTCTAAAACTTAGGAGTTTGACTAACATTAAAATTTTTTCTCTCTCATATCTATCTATATCTATATATAGGTTAAGAGTTTGACTAATATTAAAATTTTTCCTCTCTCTTATATATATATACTAGTCATTACCCATGCCTGAAGGCACTATGTTACTTGTAAAATTTAAACACACAAATATAAGATGTTTGAATAATTTCAACACATTGCGATTAAATTAGTTTTGAACATTTTTTGTTAGTGCAATTGGTATCTTATTTTTTTTGTATTGGTCACTTTTTTTTTTTTAATTGTTGATTAACTTGGGTTTTGAATTTTATTTTTTTTAATTTTTTGAGAACTATAGGTTTTCATACAGTAGTAATTTATTTTTGGTATGAATAATAACTTGATGATTTTATTTATGGATTATAAAATAATTTATAATTCATTGATTAATAAGAAGTAAGAAGTAAACATCAACCATTAGTACTAAGATGCGTGATAAGAAGATCTATTTATAGTGTACTTTAGGTATGAATCAGTTTGTAATAAGAATGATGAAAAATTATATAGTAAGTATATAATGGTTTTTAATGAAATATTATATCAAAGGTTTTGAAAAAATCGATATACTAAATAACTTGCATGTCCAAAAATGGTAACATTGTCAATTTGGGTACTGATTTTTGTGTTGTAGTGACGGTGGTATGCGATTGTTGAAGTCAAATGTTAAACTATCAAAATTTGAAAAAGAAGCACTAAACTTAGAGATATTATATATTGTATGTGTGTTTAATAGAAATATTTTCAATTTTATGCAAAGTTTTAACGTAAAATTAAAAATTAAGCAAAACTAACTTAAATCAAGATACAAACAATACACTTTTAACATATAACATTTAACAACAATCAGTTAATGACAATACATCCACAACTAAACCACTTGAACATTAAAAATTAAAAATAATAAATTATTGTCAAAACATACACCACTACATCAAACCAAAAAAATCATCAATGATAAACAATAATGGATACCAGCGAGAGTACTTTCGGAGGTTAAATCACTGCCAATACAATTTGGATGGAAGAAAATGGATGGTTGGAGTGGGTAAGTCTAGTGGATCTCTAAATTATGTCGTGCGTCGTTGAAAAAGATTTGTCCATTGTTGGAGTCTGCACAGAAAGATGAGAGACTAAGGCGGACGACAATGATTTTCTGAGAAACTAAGAGAGGTGAGACAATTAATAGGAGAAATAGAAAGAGTTTGAGTTGTGTGTTAGAGAAAATGGGTAACATGTGGGTGTAGTTAAATTGGGTGAGATTTCAGGGGCGGAGCCACCCTTGGACCAGAGTAGGCACATGCCCCCCTCAAATTTTTATTTTTTTTTGGCATTATATATATATATATATATATTTAAATAAAATTTAGATATATTTAATTGTGTCCACCCTCAATTTTTTTTACAATAAATATATATTTTTTAAAATAAAATTTAGACATATTTAATTGTGTCCACCTTATTATTGTATTATTGTGATATCGATTAAGATAGATGACTACTTAAATAATAATTAATTTTTAAATAATGTTATTGGAACTAATACATTATGATATTAAATCTAATAGTAAGTCTCTACATTTAATAACGTCTATTATCCATCAAATGGTCACAAACCATTGGGTTCCTACTAATTAAATTTTTAATTTTTTTTGGTCAAGATTTAAAATTAAATTTTGAATTAGATGCAATTATTATTATTTTTAAATTTTTAGACACAGACATGTCTGAATAATTTTTAGACATATCGTGTTCATTTTTCTAAATTATAGGATTATTTTATTATTGTATAGAAATGAGCGTCATAATGTAATAAATTACAGGATAATAAATGAAAGACTATTATTACCATTTTTATATAGAAAAAAGTATTTATTGATATCATTGATTTATAATTCTTTTAAATGATAAACAATAATCAAATTTAATTGTAAAATAATAATAATTAGTCTCATGAAATTTTAATTAATTTACTTTTATTTTTTATTTGTTCATTCCATACAAATCTTTTTTTAACCTTTTTATGTTTAATGAACTTTTACGCATAATTATAGTAAATATGAATTTATGAACTTCTATTGTCAATTGAAAAAAAATGAAAAATACTATTTAGATCTAATTTGATAACATAATTCAATGTACCCCTTTGATTGAAAGTAGATTTCATCTAACATTAAAATTTACAATTAAAATAATAATTACATTAAATTAAGTCATTGGTAACATTGATAAAAAAAACAATTAAAATTTATTAATATGTCCACCCTAAAGTATTTTTCTAGGTCCACTCCTGGTGGGATCTTATTTTTGTGTGGAATGTGTTGTGAGTCATTGCATTAAGTTTAATGAATTTAGATGAAATTTAGATCATTTAATTTAAAATGAATTTAATCTGAGTTGTTATTGTGTTTTTTCAAATTTAAGATAGAGACATATGAGAGATAGGAGAGTAGAGTCTTACGATAAAAGACTTCTTCATGGACGAAAAAAAAAATTCATGACTAACTGTAAATTGTTAGATCAAAATTTTTGAGATATTCTAAACCGTCTTTTATGTTGGGATTACGTTGTCCGTTGGATGTGTTTATGTTTTGTCTCAAAACGATCTGGACCTCTCTTTATCTTTTGGATTCAAATTTCGTTCTATTTTATATATATACTAGTCATTACTCATGTCTGAAGACACTATGTTACTTATAAAATTTCAACACACAAAGATAGGATGTTTGAATAATTTCAACACATAGCGATTGGATTGATTTTGAACATTTTTTGTTGGTGCAATTGGTACCTTAATTTTTTTGTATTGGTCACTTATTTTTTTTTTTAATTGCAGATTAATTTGGGTTTTGAATTTTTTTTTTTAATTTTCTAAGAATTATAGGTTTTCATATAGTAGTAATTTATTTTTGGTATGAATAATAACTTGATAATTTTATTTATGAATTATAAAGACAATTTTAATTTCATTGATTGATAAGAAGTAAGAAGTAAACATCAATCATCGGTACTAAGATACGTGATAAGAAGATCAACTTATAGTGTACTCTAGGTATGAATCAGTTTATAATAAGAATGATGAAAAATTATATAGTAAGTATATAATGGTTTTTAATAAAATATTATACCAAAGGTTTTAAAAAAATCGACATACTAAATAACTTACATGTCCAAAAATGGTGACATTGTCCATTTGGATACTGATTTTTATGTTGTAGTGACAGTGTGTATGTAGTTATTGATGTCAAATGTTAAACTATTAAACTTTGAAAAAGAAACACTAAATTTAAAGATATTATGTATTTTATGTGTGTTTAATAGAAATATTGTTAATTTTATGCAAAATTTTATTGTAAAATTAAAAATTAAACAAAATCAACCTAAATTAAGATACAAACAATACACTTTTAACATATAACATTTAAATTATTTAATTTAAAATGAATTCAATCTGAGTTGTTATTGTGCTTTTTCAATTTTAAGATAGAGATGTATGAGAGATAGGAGTGTAGAGTCTTACGATAAGAGACTTCTTTATGGGCGGAAAAAGAAATTCAGGACTAACTGTAGACTGTTAAATCAAAATTTTTGACATGATCTGAACTGTCTTTTATGTTGGAATTACGTTGTCCATTAGATGTGTTTATGTTTTGTCTCAAAACCATCTGGACCTCTTTTTATCTTTTAGATTCAAACTCTGTTCTACTTTATTATATATATATATATAGTAACACTAGGGATAACTCGTGCCTGAAGGCACGATACAACTAAAACAAATTGAACATTGAATTTGAACGCGAAATAATCAAACATTGAACTTGGACATGTACTAAACTGAAAGTCTAAACTTGTCCTATACTATGCATAGATCTTAAATACAAAATAATCAAACAATGAATATAAACATGCATTAAATTGAAAATCGTTTG